GGGTGGGTGTGAGGAGCGTGGGGGTGCTATCTTTCAGATGTAATGTTCAATCAAGGCCAAATCCCAGCCTATATTCTTCCATGAATCAACATCACAAATTATCTGGTCATTAGCACATTGCTGTTTGTATGAGTTTGTTACGTGCAGCTTGGTAGCTTCATTTCCTACATTACTACTTTGATTACAATTGCAAAAGTACTTAATTGGCTTTCAAGTGTTCTGAGATATTCAGCAGTCAAAAAAAGTGTTTCTTCAAATACAAGACTTTCTTTCTGATATTCAAGACTGAAACTGAGATTTTTAAACTTTCACTGAATCAAGGGATATGAGGAATTTGGAGAAAGTAATATTGACGTTGAAGATCAGCAATGATTTTAGTGGTTGACAGAGCAGATTTGAGAGCTTTTGATCTACTCATAGCCCTATTTCCTTGTTGTCCATGAATGTAAGAATACATCTGTAAAGCACAGAAGGAGAGAGGTCCTAGGTGGATTCACTCTGGTCACTTTTACAGCTTCAATTAGTTCTTTGTCAAGTTGGCAAGTACTGTCCACTCAGGTTGCTGTCTAATCAGCATACATGGAAACAAGTGTTACTTTACTATGGAAAGATGCCATATAAGTGCAAATTGCTGTTGTTGTTGTTAAATCTGCAATGTTCCAAGACTCTAGCTTGAATCTGCTTTTAGGTCAGTTGAATGTGCTCACAATCATTTCAGCAATCCATCTAATGATCAGAAACTCAGCCAGCTAACACCTTTCTCATGGCCATGGGATAAATTTCGACAATTGGGAATAAATGTGAGTGGCATGATGGCTCAGTGGTTAGCACTGCCACCTCACAGTGCCAGGGACCCATTTTTTATCCAACCTTGGGCGACTGTCCGTATGGAGTTTGCAAATTGTCCCTGTGTCTGCGTGGATTTCCTCCAGGTGCTCCAGTTTCCTCTGACAGTCCAAAGATATGCAGGTTAGGTGGATTGGCCATGGGAAATGCAGGGTTTTAGGGATAGGGTAGGGACTGGGTCTAGGTAGGATGTTCTTTGGAGGGTCAGTGTGGACTCGATGGGTCAAATATCCTTCTTCCACACTGTTGGGATTCTATGATTCTAAGTGACGAGTAGCAGGGAAGTTAGCTGCAGCAGGATCACTAAAAGTTTAAACAAAGAAGAGGGTGGCTGGAGTCTCAGCAACAGCAGCATGGAGGGAATGGCTGGGAAAGAAGAAAGAGGAACTGATTGTTGGATTAGATAAATGTTAGGTCAGTAGCTACATAGTGGAATTTATCTATGGACTTTGGGCAACTGGTGATAGAACAGAGGTGAGCTGTAGCTCAGGTCAGGCAGGAGGCTGAATGAAAAAAGGAAGCCATTCAGAAAAATACCATCTTTAACTGTAAATTCAAATAAGAAACTGAAAGGACAAGGCCCAGAGTGTTATGTAGGGGAGATAGGCTAATTAGAAACAAATGTAAAGAGTAAGGTTAGCAGTTGCAGTTTAAACATCGTGAACAGATGTAATAAGAAAAGTGTGATTCTAAAAGCATGATCAGGAAAATTGGAAAATGTTAAAGTAGGTAGTGTTGCACTCCTACAAGTGGCATGCATACTGAAAGCCTTTGAAAATGTCAAATAGTTCGCTTATGTGATATTGATTCATTCCCTCAAGAACATTTTGGATGGACACCCACTACATCACTATCCACAGGTAACATATAGACTGATAATGCACACAAGATAACTGGTATTTATTCATCCAGCAGTAGTAACTTGTTTAAATGGTTATGAATTGTTTTATTTTTATAAATCGATGAAACAGTTTTCAATATAACAGCAGAATTATGCTCCACTACATAGATTCTTAACCTTTCTAATATTAAAGCATTTTCAAAAATTATTTGTGGATCAATTATGATGCTCCTCTTGTTCGAATGATATGAAACCTAACTTTTTATGGATTTCATTGTAATCTGCTTCAAAAGATTTGAAGCTCATCCTTTGCTCAGTGGTTAGCATTCTTGCCTCAGAAGGCCAAACTTGTGGGATCATGTTCCGTTTCAGAAACTTCAGCCTACATTCTCAACTCATATGCAAGTGAAATAGTAAGGGAGTGCTGCATTGTTGGATGCAGAAAGATGCTGTGAGATGTTGCAGCATGGATTTGAATGTCCCATTTGAAGGACATAAAAGATCTGTGGTGCTATTTGAAGAAGAGTTCTTCCCAGCACCACACCCAGTTACTATCCCACAACAGATTGCTGAAAACAGATGGTCTCTTTGCAGTTTGGGGCATGTTTTGATGCATTTGATCTGTGTATTGCTGGCTAGGCTGGTAATTGTTGCCCCTCCTAAATTGCCCGACCACCTTGCTGTGGGTTTGGAATTACAAGTAGGCCAGAATGGGTAAGAAAGGCAGATTTCCTTCCCTAAATGTAATTAGTGAACTAGATGTTCCCACTGCCTTCCCCGCCAATCAACCAACCACAACTGTCAATGATTACATGGCCAGCATTATTCCAGATTTTTGTTGAAATAAAACTTCACCATCTGCTATGGGATTTGAACCTATTTCTACAGAACTTGAGGTTCTGAATTGCTAGCCCAGTGACACTGCCAATACACCAACACCCCTCTTCATGTTGCTACAGTTACTAACCTGACAATATTTCGGAAGTGCTTAATTGGTTGTAAAATGCTTTGGAAGATATGCAACTACTTCAGATTGTTGTTGGGAAGCTTAATTAGCCAAGAATCAGCTTGGTCATCAAGTGCTGTGTGGAATCCTGGGCCCTGAATGGCTACAGCATAGAAATTTCAAATGCATGCAGGCACATTCATTGAATGGGTTTGATTGGGTTATGGGGAAATAAATTTGTGATTGGCCTGTGAAAGAATGGTATTGATAGACTGAAAGATCTTTCCAAATTTTAAATTTAAGAACACCCTTGAAGTATTTCGTATCTTTATCCTGACCGTTCCTGTTGGTGCACAACAGTTAGCGTTCAGTAGCGGGAGAAGCTGCAATTGGCAGGTAAAGTTCCCGCGCGTTGTTCGAAAACGCAAGTAATCCCTAAAAGGCATAAATTCTGTTTCAAGCCCAGAGAATGCTGGAGAAATTCTTTTTCTTTTTGGAACTTCTTCTGAAGAAGAGTCTTACAGGGCTTGAGACATTAGCGCTAATGTTTTCTCCACAGATGCTGCCAGACCTGTTGAGTTTCTCCGGCATTCTCTGTGTTTATTCCAGATTTCCAACATCCGCAGCATTTTGCATTGATTTGAATGATAACTTCAGTCTATTCCATCCGGGAACATTTCTGTTGCTCCTTATTTCTTTTACAAAATTGCCATTGACACGTCAATCATTGGTCTATTTAAAAAGTATCTTTCCAGAAAGCTTACTGACAGGTAGCTATGATTAGAGGTCCCATAACAACAGCGCAGCAGTGTGGTTAGGTACAATTACAATATTCTAAAGCGTGACATCTTTGAGGCTTTTTTCTACCGCGAGCTCTTACAGAAAGGGGACTGAACAAAGACAATAGCAGATGCCTTGGAAAAATAAAGCACACGTTTTGGATAGGGACGTCTTCGTCTTCCCTACCCCTCGCACATCAAGACACCACAATCACACTCCTTGGTTTCTCCTTGGGGAAATGTGACATGCTTTCAAAAATGTCACCCTTCACCCCCTGCCACATCCAGGAATAACCATAAACTGACACACTGTCCTCCACAGATCGCCTGCACTTACAGCAACTTTGAAATCTTGGCTTGCGTTCACGGCTAGATCCAACTGGTGGATTTCTTTAACTCTTTGAAGCCTCCCTCGCAACGTTAATTCGAATTTCATCCTTTTAGTGTCAATCCATTGTATTGGCAAAAGGTTAAATGCGCTGACGAATGTAAGGCAAAGATAACTTTCTGATTTGGGAATAAAAAGACGAGACGGTACTTTTCAGCTTTTTTTTATTGCCAAACGGCACCATTCAGGAATAGATATGAAAACTACCTTATATAAACCAGCTCGGTGTTTCAACCACAAAATATTCTGAACTAGGCAAAAAACACATTTAGAAACCCTGAAAAAGACGAGATTCTTTGGATGTCAGTTTGATATGTCCATTTTTTTGTTTGTTTTTTGTTTTTTACAAAATCCGCGCACTTCAGGGGTGCTAAGCAGAGACCGGGGGATAAGGGGGGTGGGACAATTAATAGAAATTCAGTTTTTGGTTCAATTCGATTGGAGATGATTCGCCCAGATTATCTTTTAAACGTTTTGAAGGATAGACTAAAGCATGAAAAAAAACACTCCTAGGAGTTGCTGCACAATCTGGGAATCCTTCTCCTTTTGTTTAACCGTGTTCATAACTGCGACACATTCTACCAAACAAAAAAAATAAACATTTTTGTACAACAGCAACCGCCACGGACCTTAAAACATTTAAATGAAATTAAAGCATCAAGTGCGAGTGCTCGACTCTCCTAGAAACAACAAAACTCATTGCACCAAATATTGAAGGGAGACGGGTTCGTGGAAATGAGACAAACAGAAAAGCTTCTATCTTCAGAAACAAGTGCGATACAAGAGGCAAAAAACATCACTGCTCTCAAAACAGCAACCTAGCACGCCGAGAAAGAAGGACAGAAATAACAGCTCACAGCTCTCCAACAGAAGGTGTAAACACTGAACTGAGAACAGGTGGCACAAAAAAACTGACAAACATTTATATAAAAAATAAATAAAATAATATAGAAATATACTAATTATCAATACGCACATTTATAAAAAATAAAATTAAATATAAATATACCGCACCCACTAACACACTTTAAGGTCACAAATAGATTTTTAAGTTCCATTTGTTTTGGAAACGGTGGCACTTGACAACCTCCTCAAACAACTTTTTTTTTAAATTTCCAGTTTTAAATCCACAAACTTTACTTTTCCCATTCTGATCTCCACTGTTTTTCTCACTCTCTCTCTGTCTCCCCCACTCACTGCCTAGACATCAAGGACATGGTTCAGGTAGGAGATGTAACAGATGGCCAAGCGGAGGATCTCAATCTTGGAGAGCTTTTTATCAGGAGGCAGAGTTGGCAGCAGTTTGCGAAGTTCTGCGAACGCCACATTAAAGGCCTCCACCCTGATGCGCTCCCGGGTTGCGTGAGCCGTGCGGTACTTGGCAGTGGCTCGCCGCCGGCGGCGCTTCTCTTCCCGGCTCAGTGTCTGCTGGACTCCCCGCTTGCCCTCGGCCTCATCTGGCTTGTCCCGCACACAGCCTCCCCGGGCATCGGACAGCACGGATTCGCTTTCCGAGGAGCTGGGATTCAGGTCCAGTTCAGTCTGATCCGAGTTCAACATCCTGGGCAACACGATCCGAACTGCAATGGGACACACCTGAAGATGCAAGAGAGGAGGGAAAACGGCTTGATATTTTATCAGAGTAAATAGCTCTGAAGCAGAAAGGGAGGAAGTGAATCCAGTACTAACAACAATGAAGTGACTATAGCTACAGCGAATAATGTTCAAAGTCAAGCAGTGTTTCACAAGCCAGTAAATTGGAAATGCACTGAACTACAAAACAGACCGAGCTATCCAGAGAATAAACGAAAAATACTAGAAATGAAGTTATCCAAATAATAATAAAATCTCATATAAATGGAAACAAACATTCAGGAGAGCACAGAAATACGTCACTAAACACCAGAGTTTCCACTAAGAAAATATCAACTCGACATCTCAATGTAAACACTATTTACCCACACTCTTGAGAGTACACGGTGTAATACCAGTTAAGGCTACATTTCCCGATGTATCCATCTTCTTCGCCAAACGTTTTATTTAATCAATTTCTTCTGCATTCAAATCTGAATTTTAAAATGTGATACCACCCCAGCATACATTTAGTACTTATCTATCTATCTATCTATCTACCTATCTATCTATCTATCTATCTATCTATCATCTCTGGCTAGCTTTTCGTATCTGTAGCTGTATCAATCTAATCTTAGTTTACAGCTGTTTATATTTCGAGGGTTATTGATTCCTGTCTGTACGGTTATTACTCAAGGCCTGCAGGATGTTGTATTTGTAATGGGTATTAAATGAGTTTATTAGAAAACCTTCTACGAGATTAAGACAAAGGCTTTGTTCGCAGTATTCTTGATATGTGACCAGCAGTAATCGATGTTTGCCCGTGTAGAATATTAATTTATTATTATTTCATTTGGAACCGAGCCGGGGTGAAAGGAGAGACAGATTCAGGCACCATCTGTCACCCGGAAAAGCAGACTGCAGGGACATCCTCACACCCAGACACACACAGATACACTCACACATATATACACACAATGTGCACCGAGACTGAACTCAACTGGGTTTGAAGGAAAGGGAACAAAAATAGAGATAATGGACTGAAATGAACACATGTAGACACATAGCACATAGCTACACTAATATTGAATCATTGTTAGATGTGAATTGATACATTCGATGTACCAGAATAGAGAAAATAAGCATATAAACTAAAATATTCACACAACCAGACACAAAAGAGATAGGCTTCTAGAGAGCCAACAGAGCAACTGTGAAAACCGAAACTACAACAGTGTAAAAGGAAAAGGTGGACTAGACACAAACCGTCAAAAAAACAAAAATTAACAAACAGTCTGAATATGCAAAGTGCAGACAATAGTCTGAAATAGAGACATCTTTCCAACCCACCTCCAAACACACGGAGTATGAACAGTTAGAGCTGAGGCAGGGAAATAGGAAAATAAAGAAATTGAACGGATGGGAATGCAGGCAAACTGCCAGAATAAATAAATACTCACAAATTAATCTACAGCGATAATCAGATTACAGCACCATTATTTCTAGTAAAGTTAATCATTGTTTTAAGAAGTTGTCTTTTCTATTTCTCCACATGGTGTAATTAAGTTTACATTTCGCCTTCTAGCGAATAGCAGACGACAACGGGTTTTATTTGTGTGGACAATGTTTTAAGGTTTCTGATATAATTTAGTGCCTCTTTTTTCTGACTGGTAGCCCATATATAATGTTTTGCGTTACAGAGAAGAAAACATTCTTACCAGCAACGGAGGAAACTGGAGGATCCAATGGAATGGAGCAAGATCGACTTTGTTAAAAAAAAAGCAGATTCCAATGACTAGCAATTTTTCCTGAAGATCTTATCTGGCTTCTTTATCCACAAATCAGCCCTGCAGATCCAGGCATTTTGTGTTGGGTCAAATCTCTGAAACGAGCGACAAGAATTTAATAAAATGCCCTTTTAATATCTGATCCCAGCGGCAGGAGTTTGATAAAATATCGTTCGAGTGTCTGATCGCGGTGGTAAGAGTTTGATATAAAAGATGTCCTCTCCGCCTCTGATCGCGGCGATAAGGGTTGTTTCTGTCTCTGTCTCTCTGTCTCTCTGATGGTCCTGTCTGATCTTAGTGGAGATGGAGATGAGAGAAGGGCTTGGCCAGGCTCGGGGGCCGGGCTGGAACCAAATCCTCTTTTAATGGAGCCTCCGATTGGAGAGAAATCTCCCCAGGAGTCACCTAATGGGATCCGACATCTGTCACAAACTGAGAATATTCACAGAGCAAGCACATTCAACAGATTCATATCACAAATACAATATCACAGATGCCAATTCATTTTGAAATACAATCCACTGTGCCATAACATAGTCAAATAAAACAAATCACACATCATAGGCGCAATACTGCAGAAACCAGACGGGATGAGAATGTAATCCATATTTCGCGAAATATCTGGATATGAAAATCATATCACATCAATAATATCTTAATCCAATGAACATTTAAATATAAGATACGACGTTATTACGAGATAAACAAATCCGTACCCCATCTGTGGAATGATTTAATCAAATGAAGTCTACAATAAAGCATGATGTTATCCTTCCCACATAGTCAAATTTGCAATAACCCAATGCGGATTTAAATATAATACTTATTGCTACTCCGCTGATATTACACATTTAAATAAGGCCATACTATATAACATATGCTGTTATACAAACTCCGATCTTATCTATCAGCATCACTTATCCCTTGGGTAATATTAAATATAATATTGGATCTTAATACTTTAGCAACAATAAAATTCAGATTGCTTTGGAAGAATGACTAAATCCAAACGAAATTTACACATATAGCAAGCTATTAAACACGCAATATTTCCTAATAATTCATTGAAGTATTATGCCTAACACACTGTCTGCCAATGTACACAAATTTCTATCTTATTACAGAAGTGATCAATGCAATGGAAATTTACACATAACGCATGGTTTTGTGTGTACAAATATTTAATTTTGTCATCCATCCTGGGACTCCATTCAACGAAGATTGTAGTATCTTATGAAACTTATAATCAAAAATGAGAAAACACATTATAATTACCACACTATTCAATTGTACATTTCCTTAACAACCATCTATCAGAATTAAAAGAGTTTGTATTATAACATAGTTGAGATCACACTCTCAGTTCCACCTAAGTCCTATATGGGCCCAAGTATGCAACTCACAACAGAACCAAGTCAGATATAGTTTATTAATATTTCAAAGCTCATTCAATGAACACTCATTTTACCTTAGTACATTATCCTAACTCACTTTTAAACCTGACTTGATTCATTACTATTTTCTCTTTCTGCATTGTATACCTTTTCCCAGTTTTTATGCTTCATCCAAATACAATTTACGTTCTCATTTCTGCACCGTCCACATGTATACTGTTGACAATTTTCCCTGTGTACAAACTCCTATATCCTCTAGTTTCTCTTTATTATCACCAGTTCATAATAATTCCTTATCCACCCTCCATATAACTGGTGTGTTTTTATGTACAGTGTTATGCTTTTCTCTTTTAGCCAGACTACTACCCCTGCACTATTTTCAAACGTATTCGTCATTCACTGTCTACTTATTTCAATATTGAATATATAGCTATTTGACGAAGTGAGCAGTCACCAATCTGGGTGATACGGTGAGCAGTTGCAGTAATTCACCATATCCCACAGTCAGTACCTACTGTAGTTGGTTTCTTATGACGCATTCCCATTCTGCGAACTATGTCACGTGATCACAGTGAGGTAACGAGATCATCACCAATAATAGTAGAGGAGTTGTCTGCCTTTTGGAATCAGTTTTGTCTTTTTCTAAATGTGCATGAAATTCAAGGGCAAGCCCCACGCAAAAAAAGAAACTCACACATCAACGATGAGCAACATTTGCTCCTCAAAAACAAAGTGAAATTATTTTAGAAAGTAGCAGCAATTAGAAGATTTTGCTACCTGTCAAACAAGCTATATAATAAACTGTAGGATAGTAAGAAGTGCTTAAATCTCTAAAATATATACTACAATAACCAATACCATCTCAACAATTTTTTTTTTTAAATTTATATTGTTAACCTCCACTGTTCTTTAACGCACACGCAAAAACAGCCCCCATGTATTGATTAAATGTATTACATTTATGTAGAAGAGCTTTTAATTGCCATATACGTGGGTTGGAGGCATTACTTAATATACAGTAATGTACAAGTATTTTAAGCTCTAGTTTTGGAAGTCATGACATTTAGAGTGTGTGAACTTGAATTCAAAGCCTGATTTTTGTCCTGTAGACCAGTGGACGGAACCTCTCTTAAATTCCGGGATTGAGTTCCCCATTAAGATAGTTTGGGAGCATGAAACTTTACTCACAAAATGAATATCAAGCATTGAGCACAAACAATCTCAATATGTCGCAGATTACTGTAAGAAATATTATTTATATGAAATAAAAACAGAAATTAGTGGAAATACTGATCAGGTAAGACAGCATCTGCAGAGAGAGAAACCAAATTAATGGGTGGAATCTTCCTAACCTTGAACAGTGTCCATTTGCAAATCAATTGGGAAAATAGCATGAAATTGGCAGAGGTGAAATTTCCAGCATCATGAAAAAATAGTCAGATTCTCCAACCAAATTTTGACTAGTGAGGTGAGAATCTTGCTATTTAATGGCAAGAGGTCTATTTACAGGTATTGACCTTCCATTATTATCTAATTTGCCCTCACTGGTCTACAGTTTCCTATTCTTCCATGCACCAGACAGAATCAGATAATGACACTTCCCAACATGAAAATTAGAGTGGGTAGCAACTCCAGCTCACTGCTTATTTCACTGGGCCTCCATGTTGGGCAGCAGTCAGCAACATTTCTAGCCATGTTTTCTGGCCAGTGACCACCTGGACCCTCCATCCTTGGAGGTTGGCTTTGGACATGTACCAGCCTCCCTGCATTCTCATGGCACATCGCCCATCCATTTACAATATAGGGGGCTTCTGCATTTCAGTGCTGCATTCTGCACCTCCCATTGTAATGCTGTTGCCAGGACATTGTGTGCAGGGACAGGCATCTGGCTAATGGATTGGTCCAGGTCTCCTCACTTTGCACCTATTAGGATGCTCGCAACATCTCTGCCTTATGCTGATTGTCTTGACTTCCCTTTTAGTTTTTTGTCCTCTCAGCCAGAAGTTAAAGATTCACAGTACTTAATAAACACAGTATAGGTTGAAGATCACTGTGATTATGTCTGCTTCTTAGAGATGATTATCTTTAATCTGCAATGACCAAGACAAGGTCAGGAGTGTGTATGACCAGGATTTATACCCCACACAGTTGGACATTGCATGTGTTTCTAATCAGGCTACAATCATCTGAAATCATTGTAGCCTGATTAGAAACACATGCAATGTCCAACTGTGTGGGGTATAAATCCTGGTCATACACACTCTTGATCATTGCAGGTTAAAGATAATCATCTCTAAGAAGCAGACATAGTCACAGTGATCTTAAAAGTGGTACCTGTGGGTGGCAATTCACAAAGATATTCCAAGATCTCATAAGCTGCACAATGGCATGGAGTTGATTTCCTCTTAACTTGCTCTGTAAGTATTGATCAATGTGCTGTTAAATGCAGTGCTGCCTTTTGTGAGGGATGTGAGGGATGTGAGGGATGTGAGGGATGTGAGGGATGTGAGGGATGTGAGGGATGTGAGGGATGTGAGGGATGTGGTGTGGTCAGAGTGTTAGTGATCATACAACACACAATTTCCTACTGTACTCATGTCACGTGCAACAGAATAAGGTCTCTACATTAAATTTCTTGTAGAGGCATTCCATGGCTCTCCTTGTCAGAGTCCTCCATGTTGTCTCCAATGAGGAGTTCATTAGACCATCATTTCTGAATGATGAGAATGCTGACTGCTCACACACCTGTTGCAATGAAGGCACAGAGAAATTGAGAAGGACCAGCAAGTCTAGGACATACACCATGTGAAGCTGCTCCTCAGCTGCTGGAGGTTGAAGAGGTCATGATGGAAGAGACACATAGGATGTTGAAGTACAGGAAGTCTATCCTCCTTGATGCCACTTCCTTCAGATGAGGAAGACATATACTGTCATGCCTTCTTGAGGTATTTGGGAAATAAAGTCCCACTGTTCCTGGAGTTGACACAAAAGCTAAAGATTTTAAATATATGCAGAATTGCTCAATTTACCAAACATTTAGGCCTGGTCTGACAGAAAGCACATATCATGCTTCTGTCTTAAGAGATTATTTTTCCAAATAAATAGATTCTAGCTACACATAAACAATTTTGAAATGCTGATATATAACTTAATTAATTTAAGTGTTTAATTTCCTTATGAAACTCCCTTTGCACACACATATAGACAGAGACAGAGGAAAAAAAAAACATTGGTGCCATGGGTGGTGGGAAGAATGAAAAGACAGTTCAATAGCCCCTGTCTAGAGGGTTCATTGATGTGATCCTTTTGCCTTCTCAGGTCTCGCTGTTCCTCAATCTTTCTTCCCTAGGTACTTTCACTTGCTTACAGAAGGCACAGGGTGATTGGTTTGCCCTGATAATCTCTTAATGCTTAAGAGCTATGCCAACAGCAACTGACTCTTCTTGCTTGAGGTATCTTTTTACTGCAGAGTGAAGGACAGATCTTTCACCACCTCAAGCTGGTCAGTTACCCTGGAGCTAATCATATCATTGGCAGGCAGAAGGTCTTTGTCATAGTCAAGACATCACCATTCCCCAGACCAATCAGCTACTTGTTG